TACTCGTGGCCGTGTACGCGACATTGGCCGGCTGGGGGGTGGGGGGTGGAGGGTGGTTGGGGTGAGGTTGGCTCGTTACGCGTTTTCTTTCTTTCTCTTCCCTTTTCTTTCCCGTCGTCACGGTTTAGGCTCTGCGTGGGAGCTTATGAATGGGGCGCGTCCCTGCGTGACGTCACCACGCGAGAACGTTGGACGCGCGATAGTGGAGCTAGTCTGGTGGTGGAGGTGGTACCGTGTGGATGGTGGTGGCAATGGTAATGGGGGTGGTGGTGGTCTGGTAGTGGTGGTGGTGGTTGTAGCAGTGATGGTGATGTTAGTTGTAGATAGTGGTGGTAGTGTGTGTTAACACACACCCCTGCTGCTGCTTGGCCGGGATAGGTGTGTGAGATATAAGGGGTGGGGGGTGCGGCTGACTAAGTCGATGGACGGCGAGATGCTGGGCTGGTTCTGTCGTGCGCGGGAGGCGGGTAAACGTGACGCAACATATTGATCTAAGTTTCGTAGTGCCGACTCGCACTCCTGCTTCTACAGAGAAACGGGGGTAGAAGAAGAGTAAAGAGAGGAAGAGAGAGAGAGAGAGAGAGAGAGAGAGAGAGAGAGAGTGATAGAGAACTTGCTGGATACGAAATACGGGCTTGCTCGCTCGGTAAACTTACGGGACTTGTAGCAGTACTTGCCCTGATCTTACCATCTAGACGAAGAGAATGTGTTGCAAGGGATGATCTTAATAAGAAATGATGATAGCTATGTATGTGTGCGTATATGTGAGAGATTGAAAGAGAGAGGGAGATAAATGAGACATTTTCTTTAGAGTATATTTAGCTCGATTATTATGATCTTTATAGTACAATCAACAATGTTTTATTATTGATGTTTTTATTTTTAGGAATATATATGGTATTGCATGTTTAGATTAAGGGTAGTTTTATTAATGATACAAATTCATTTGTTATATAATCTCATTTGATTAGTGGGTAGATTGTCTGAATTATATTAGAATTATATTTGTGTCGGTGTGTTTAGAAATTAAATGAGGATTTATAAAAATATCTCTTTCCACGGTTTTTTCTTCCTTGTCCTTCTACCACCATTTGCTAGTGACGTTCCTGAAGGGTTTCTGTTCTGTCGTATCAACGATAGAACCATCCAAGTTGCTCGCTTTTCCATTCTCTTTTCTTTTCTTTTCTTTTCTTTTCTTTTCTTTTTTTCTTTCTTCCTTCCTTCCTTCCTTCCTATCAAATAATTCTTTCTTGGACGATGTCAAGAGATGCGATAAAGACCTTTCACAAACACGCAAATTATATATCGGTATTCAAAGGAAAAGGAACGAATTGTTCGTGTAGTAGACGCAATCAAATATATTTCCTTGATAGAAAGGAGAAAATCGTTCATCTCGTTGTTGAAATTAGACGAGGTAAGAAATAATTTGGAATTTGAGAGAAAGTCGATAAAAGAAGACGAAGACGAAGACGAAGAAGAAAAAGAAGAAGAAAAAGAAGCTTTCTTGTAATCTTCAGTGCTATTTTAAGAAAACACCCGAGTACGCGATGACGACAACAACACAACGATTGCAAGCACAACCCCCTTTACGGTATAAACTTTTGTATGCATCTCGTTTCGTCTTTACTTCGCTCGCATTACGCTTGAGCACGATTTTAGGATAGTCTTCTCTAAAGTAGAGAGAAAAAAAAAAAGAAAAAGAGAGAGAGAGAGAGATAAAGTCAATGCGATGAGTCTCCAACAGCAACACCGGTGTAGGCTCTACTCGGTCTGAAGGGTCGTCTGAGCACAGCTGCCACTCAGCCTTGTAGACTTTGTTGTCTGAAAACTGAGGCCCATGGTTCCATCTTGCCAACATCTTTCTTCTACTACTATTTTTTCTAATTCTCTTTTTTTTTTTTACATATTATCTTTTCGTTTCTTCATCGATATACCAAGTGTTTGTCTTATTTCTTGTTCTTTTCTTTCTTTAATTATGTCATAGAAGAAAATGATTAATCTGTTATCTGTAAATATAAACCATATATCTCTGTCATATATGTTATTATTCTATGCATTCTCTGTATCTACATTTGCATAAATTTAAATTTACTTATATAAATAATTTTTAAAGTAAAACTAAAGTTATATATACAAATGATAGAATTTATTATTATTCAATTATTAATATTAAATTTATTTTAATTGAACAAACTTAAGAAGTATCAAGTAAATAATTTATAATTGTCAAAATATAAATATAAATTCTACTTAAGAGAATAAATTAAACAAATTTTTCCAAGATTAGATAAAATAATCGTACAAAAGTGTTCCTAAAAAAAAAAAAAACAAATATGATACAGAAAGAATAGAGAATAGAAACGTATGAAAGATTAGCTCATATAAAATCGATCGATCGACCTTTCCCTCGGTAGGTACCACGACCTCTCATCATCCAGGACGTTCATCCTCCGGTCATCTTCCTTCTCGAATAGAACGTCATCGCTTTCGTCCTCTTTGCTGACGTCATTGGTTGATAGTTGCTTTACACGTTATACGATAAGGAGGACTTTTACTACGACATAGGACTCGTACGCGCCAAAGCTTCAACGATCAAACGATTCGAATTAATTAGTTCCCTTAATTAATTCATGCAAATCCTATTCCCATCGAGATCTCATTAATGTGATCATTTATCTTATGAGATCTCATTTGCACGTATTATCTAATACTTATTATACAATATTTATCAACTTTTCTTTCCATTTACATTCTTCTCTCTCTCTTTCTCTCTCTCTCTCACTTTTCTCTCTTTTTTATCTGAACGTACCAATTTCAAAAAGATGAGAAATGGCACGGATGTTGTACATAAAGACAATATGTATCAACGTTGAAAGGATTCGGATACGTAGGTACGTGTGCGTTTTCTCTCTTTCGGATGAGAGGGTGGAGGTTGGTTGGGTGAAAGTGGGGTGGCAGGGTGGGAGTACCAAGTGAGGGTGGAAAGGGGTAGCGCTCTTGACATATTGCTACCTAGGCAACTCGACGAAGTGCTCTTCAGGGCTCCCTCTCCCAGAACTCTCCTGTCTTTCCCGCTTCGTTTCTCGGTCCTCCAGCTGTACTTTGATCCAACGCGGGCTGACCCACCAGCAGTCTGCACCGAGATTCGCTGGGCGTTGCAAGTCTTGTCGAAAAGGCTCCTTCTCTCCCTTTCTCTCTCTCTCTCTCTCTTTCTCTCTCTCTCTCTCACACACTCACTTTCTCTCTCTCTCTCTCTCTCTCTCACACACACACACATACATACTGTTTTCAAAACTGGTGCGTACAGTGTTTCGATTAACTCAGTTTACAAGTGAATCTTAACGTGAACAGGTGCGTGTGAACTCGGTGGATCTTCTTGTGAATCTCATTTTGTAATTTTTGTTTGATTTCTTTATCTTTCTATGTTTATTTTCGATCTGTCGTCGGTGGATGGATGAGAGTGATGCGTTTGAGATTGTTCTCAGTTGCCAACCGTGACGACGAAGAGAGAGAATATTCACACAGTTCGATCGGATCGTGTTCGAAGGTCACGTAGTACGCGGACTGTCGGGAGGGCGGCGGGCTTCTGACTCGTGACGAACGATGCGTGTCCTACTTCGGTTAAAAGGATGTGCCACAAACGTCCTCTTCTTTCTATTCTCCTCCAACCCCTCCTTCTCCTCCTCCTCCTCCTACTCCTCATTCCCCTTCTCCTTCTTTTCTTCATCCTCGTCATTACCGCGGTTGTCCATGTCCATGTCCACGTTCACGTCCTCGTCCTCGTCCTCGTCCTCGTCCTCGTCCTCGTCGTTCCCGTTGTCGTTTCTTTTTGTGAACACTTTCACAACGTTATTTCTCATCGCGTTTCTTTGCCGCTCCCTTTGGAAATGGGACAAGCAGTTTTTATTTTCGTGTGACTTTTATAGCGCGAAAATATAACCTATCGCGAGTTAATAGGACGATAATTGTTCTCATTTATTTTGTTCGATAATCGATTAATTATTTATTTATTATTCTAGTATTTTTATTTAATTTGTAAATACAACTTTTGTATCGTATTTTTATATGAATGATCGTTGATTTGTTTGCTTGTTTTTCTTAAGTGAACGAAACTAAAGTGAGAAGAACGACAAAAAGACAAATAAAAAAGGTGCAAGTGCGTTCGTGTTACAATTTAGTGAAACACCATCGGGTTAAGGGAAGGGGAATATAAATAAAATTATTTGTGATTTGGATTTTTAATTTTAATCGTGTAAGTGTTGAATTCATTAATCGATATTCATTTCTATTCAAACAATAATACATATTTCCTCAGAGAGTTGCGCCATTCGTCGAAACGAAATAGAAATCAATTAACGAAATATGAAATAGATTTTCCTTATATAGTTTCGAGTTAATTATGTCTTACTTGTTTATAATGGAAAGTTTTAGATCGTAGAAACAAAATGAAAAGCCATATACAATATCGAGTTGTTTCTCTCGTGTGAACGCGTGACTGGAGTTACAATTTGTCGGTACGCGCCACACCGTAACCCATTCGTAACTCAATTCCGAATGTAGTTCTCGAAGAACCGCTAGGTGCCGCATGCTTATCGCACAAAACCACCCCCTAACGACCACCCCGTCGACTTTACTAGTGTAGTTCATGATGCCTCACTGGGTACCTCATATATTGTTCAAAAAACGCAATATACGCATCATTTAAAAGATCTTTCCCATAGGAATATAAACAAAATCTCATACATATGTTCGAACAATAGATGTGTACGATTTTTATTTAGGTATATATATATATATAGATTATATGATCGACATTCACGATCCAATTGATCGATTTGATTTTTATTAGACATAGAAAAATAAAAAACAAAAACTCGTTTGAAAGACTCTAACGAGATGTTAGTTTTAATGGTAGTACATACATGGTAGTAGACAATATTTAATAGTATTTTAATAATAATAGAAATATAGATAGTGAATGATGGGTATGGTATCTTTAGGAAATATGGGTGTGCATCGTCTGTCGAAAGAAGCAAGAGGTCATGACGATGACAAAGGCTGGCCTCGGGACCGCGGACAACGCGATGCTGCCAATGCGAATGCAGGAGGACATGCAGGTGGGTGGTCCTCCGGGACTCTTGGACCAAACTCAGGATAAGAGGCCGAAACTCGAGAGGGCGCACAGCGCAGCCGAGAAGGAGAACCTGCCTTTGCTGCAAAGAAGCGGAAGTCTGCTCAAAAGGCAGTACTCCCAGCAAGAGCAGGTGTGCTTAACCACATTTACATATTATCCGATGCTTTTAACCCTTTAATCGCCTGCCGCCCGACAATGAGCGAGAAAGAGAGAGAGAGAGAGAGAGAAAGAGAGAAGGACGACACCCTGCAACGACACACATAGCTATCTCCAGTAGGTATTATCACCTTCCGCACACACCTTCGCGAATCCTTGATTACCTAATCTTTTGGACTCACAGTCTCGGGCTTGATTAATGGCGAACACTAAACACCGGATATGGTTAGATCCACAAACACAATACACACCGACAGACGGAAATATGGACAAACGGACAAACACATATAAACACACCTGGCACGAGATATCGTAAGGGATCTTCAAGCGGTACGAGTAGCACGATTAACACTTATGCACGATTAGCACGATCACACAATGTCCATTATTTATCAACTTATGTTGCATAATAGGTTATCATTGTTAAAAGTAGTAGGAAGGCTATGTTTGAAATCAGGTCTTAAAGGGTTAGAAGCGACGCTTAATATAGAGAGATAGATAGAGAAAGAGAGAGAGAGAGAGAGAGAGAGAGAGAGAGATAAAAAGACACAGTTCACTTCTAGTTTATAATGCCTGTAGCACAGGATTCAGTGATTACTAACTCAACGAGATCGGCCTGTTACCAACAACTTCCACTTCGTGTATGTGTGTTCGCGCGGCGGTGTATGTATATTTTGCTCGAACGCGAGTGGAAACGTTCTCGAATTCAACGCTCCTTAACGTTTCCATTATTGTCCGATATAATCACTCGTCGGATAATAAAAAATGGAAAAATATGGTCTTTGCAAGCGCAGGTTCCAGGACGTCGGGTGTCTACCAGCGATAGCGGAGTTGACATGTCCGCTTCACCTCATTCGAGAAGTCTACCGACACCCCAAGTAGTCGGTTCGTATCCTATACCAAAATCTCTGAGACATCATCTTATCTACGGGCCAGACGAAACTACTCTGTTCAGGAGTGAAATCGACAGTCTCATGAGAGAACATCAAAAAAATTATCCGAGGCATCGACCGATCTATCAGGTTTGTAAAAACAAAAAAAAAAACAAAAAAGAGAAAGAAACAAAAAAAAAGGAAGAAAATCCTAGTTTCATTTAATCTATTTGCATGCACTATATATACATATATAGTATACTTTGAATAATAAAACGCAATAATGCATTTCGTGATAATAAAGAATGACGCTTGTTGTGTATACTTAATTGCACACGTAGATGAAACACGATTTAAACTACAAAGGACAATGTCCGAGGAGCAATATAAACAGATGTGGTGTGTCTGCCCCTGCCTGTCTGTTTTGGTCATCTCTGTCCTGACTGACTGACTGAATGTTTGTATGGGAGTGTATATTTTTGTGTGTGTGTGTATGCGCGCGCGCGCGTGTGTATGTTTATATATCAGCAGCTATCGGATCGTGTCTCTATTTATTTGGCACGATACTAAACCTTTGGACACGACATTCGTTCAGTAGCTGTTGATGAAGTAGGATCCAGCTTATTTCGACGCTTTCAGAAACGAGACACGCTTTTTCACAATCCTTTCTGTTTTTTCCATTTTGTACGTTCGAACAAATGCTTATCCCGCTTTATTACTTTATATATATATAATTATTCTACTCATTATTACTCATTGATTCGATAAACATTAATTAAATCAACGGTATATTAATATTATTCAACGAAATGAAATTTTATACGAGCGATATAACTCTTTAAATTATTATATTATATTATATTATATTATATTATATTATATATATGTTTTATATATAAATGTTTAATATTATTCTTTTTATTAATTACCATGTGTGTGTGTGTGTGTGTGAATTCGATCAATTTTTCTAAATATATTTAACGTAATTTGTATGATTTGTTTTCTATTCGTGATTAAGACAAATGGACAATTTTCTAATATCAATAATATAAATGTTTGTTATCGAAAAAAAGAAAAATTAAAAAAAAATTCGGTGATATTATTTTCCACAGGATCAAAACTCTGAGTTTGTAATGGCTTATGGTCAACCCGGTACAGAAACGGGACCTTCGCGTGGACCAGTTCATCCTTCGCAACAACACACGGTTGTACATCAAGCACCAGGTACGCATCCCTCACAATCAGCTGTGGCAGGTCAGAGTACTCTTCAGCAACAAAGAAGTTACAGTAGCAGCGAGGAAGAACGGAGTACACCTGAGTGTGGGAGTGACGAGCCTGACGAGTCCGAGAAGGGTGAGTCCATTCGTTTTTATAATCGCTAATTATTCGAATTTCTTTTTTTTTTTTAAAGATAACTCTCTAAATCGCACCACGATTTTCAATGATTTATTATAAAAAAAAAAAATATAAAAAAAATCGTTAGGTATAGGGTCATACCTAAATCTAAAATATTATCGTTTATCTAACCTCGATAAACAATAAATTGAAACAAAATGAAATACTATTTGACAATTTTTATATTACAGCAATATTTTTTTTTCATAATTCAACGATTCGATTAAATAAAATGGAAGATTCGTGCGCGCAAAATAAAAAAAAAAAAAAAAAAAAAAAAAAACGAGCTGATGCGAGAACATAATTTATAAAAATATATATACATATATTTATCAGCTTGTATAAAGGGTCAGCGTCGCCCTTGAAAATAGATGCACGGAGGAAAAGCAAGCATGGCCATTCCGTGTCAATGAATATCTAGTTTACGAAGAACACCTGCACTACTTGTGTATCACGATAAATTTACAGGTAGGCAGGCAGGCAGGCAGGCAGGTAGGAAGGAAAGCAAGCAAGTAAGCAAGCAAGCAAGCAGGCAGGCAAACTGAGGAAGGAAAGCGTAATCGACCGATCAACGCTCTCTCACAGTCTATAAACTTCTCAGTGGGGTCGTTATTGCTCTTGTGTATTCGACTTTCACGACACTATATCAATCGAGAATCTTCCATACTCCAAAGAACATATTCTTGTTCTTTTTTTATCAACATTCAATATTCTTACTTCTTTATTATTTTTTTTTCTTCTTCTTCTTCTTCTTCTTCAATTAATAAATGATATAAAAAGATTCATTTTCATAAGAAATCAAGAATTGTATGAACATTGAATTTTCAATAGAAAACGATGGGTCATGAGTTGAGTTTGGAAAAGTCAGAAAGGGGTAGGAGGGTTGATTGTGTTAAGGGGTTTCTTTATAAAGCATGTGCAGTCATGGGTAAAGAGAATTGGTGCGTGCATTGCGTTGCGTTGCGTTGCGTGTTTTGCATAGAGGTTTGATCGAAGGTAACGCGCGACACGAAGACAAGTTTCTATCGATCGTGGGGCCATCCTCAAACACAATCATAATCTCTATCTATGTATTATACGTACAGGTAGGTAGATAGATAGATAGATAGATAGATAGATAGATAGATAGTAGATGGATATATAGAATGCGGGAAATTCGCTAGGTCTAACTTTGTCGGTATCGTGCACATAACGTATCCGTTGACGAGGATTGGAGTTATCAGCGATTTTACATTTTTTTTTTTTTTTTTTTATTATTATTACATGTTTCTATGTCGTCCTCGAGACTTTTCATGATACACATTGTACAGTTTACGTATCACTGTGTTTGCATTAGTTACAATATGTTTCTAGGAATTATACGAATATTCTACGAAATAGATGATAAAAAAATATATTGGATAGCTCGGAAATTGTTCAAATGACGATTTATAAATGTTTATAATTGTACGTACAAAATTTTCTTTCATAATCGGTACAAATTTGCAACAGGAAATCTAAGATTTTTAAAATATATATTTGTATCGATTTTAAAACAACAATCTCATATTATTATATTAAAAAATATTAATCGGTACGAACACTTTCCTATCAATCCAATATTAAATAAGTTTTATATATATATATATGTATATGTACATATATTAAAATTTAAAGGAAGAATTAATTCTTTGTTGTTCGACGAGATGAAGAAAGATAGTAGGGTGGATAAAAAGAGATAAAACGAGAGAGTGATAGAGGTGGGGTGGAGGGTGGGGGAGATATAATAGAAATAGTGAAGGCGACAACAGAGGTGTATGTAGATAAATACGTGTATGTTTAGGTATACGTATATACGTATGTATTAAATATACGTGTGTGTATAGGTACATATGTAGTACGTGCATCACAGTTGATTAGACACGAGATCGGCGAACCGTGAACCGATTCATCCAGGTGCGCATCGTCGGAAGAAAGAGAAAGAGAGAGAAAGATAGGTGTATATCGGAGACAGGAATAAACTAAACCTCTCTCTCTCTCTCTCTCTCTCTCTTTCTCTTGGTCTACCTTTGTAACCTGTCACGTTCTTTATTTAATATACTTTTATTTTTTATTTTTTTTTATCTTTTTTCTTTTTCATTTCTTTTTTTTTTTTTTCGTTCCTTTCCCCGACACACATCGAAGGTCGACCGATATAACCATTCTCGTTTTTTTTCTTTTTCGCAACGTATAATATCCCGTTGTTTAAGCGACAAAACATTGTATCTGTTTTTTTTTTTTTTTTTAATTTTTTTCATTTTTTATTTTTCCATTCTTCATTCTTATTTTTCAAAGAGAAAATCGTCGGGCATAAAATTCTCCCTTTCCTCGTTAGTAATCGATAATACGAATTCGTAGGGGTTGAAAACGTGAATTCGCGTGTGCTAACGGATTGGTTGGTAGGTAGGTAGATTGGTAGGTAAGATCGATTTCTATATTACCGACCGCACTTAGAGACAAAAATTCACCCCAAATCCTTTCTTTTTCACCTAGCGCTCTTGGTATTACTTTAACGACAAAAAAAAAAAAATAAGAATGATAAGGAAAGAATCCGAGACAGTGAGAGTGAGAGAGAAAGATAGAATTTTAATATCACGTTTTTATCATTCTCGTCTTTTTCTAGATTTTTCATACACTGGAAAAATCCTTTCCCTTCATTCTTCTCTCTTTCTCTCTCTCTCTCTCTTTCTCTCCCTTGGTAGTTCGATTTTGTCGAAGTTCAAGCTCACGTGTAGAGAAGGGTAGCACAGACAGTATCCGTTTGGTTGGCACGCGAGATATCCAAGATCGTATTTCTTCTATCGTGCATCATGGCATACCGTTCGATATCCTGCGGGAATTCTCGGCTCTTCTTCTTCTTCTTCTTCGTTGCATTGATCCTTCCATCCATTCTCCATCTCTCTCTCTCTCTCTCTCTCTCTCTCCCCCTCATTTTTTTCTACCTCTTTTACACTCTTTTCTTTCTCTTACTCACCCCATTGTTATTTCTTCGTCTTTCTTCACCTATTTCACATTCTTTTTTTTTCTTTCTTTCTTTTATTCACCACATTTTTATTCCTCCTCCCTCTTTCTCTCCTTCTCTTACCATTTTTCTATCCAAAATTCAACCTATCAATTCATCCCTTTAGTCAGTTTCGGTTACATTTCCATCTATCTATCTATCTCAATTTCCATCTTTTTCCCTCGTCATCTCATCTTTCAATCTTTTTCTCTAACTTGATTCTTTTTTTTTTTTCTTTCTGTTTTTCAACTCCAACTTTGCTTCTCCCTTTACTCCCTAACGAGACCACCCACTCACTAGTTTCGTGACGTCACACGAAGCACCAGAGGTAGCAGCAGTAACAGCAGTTGCACGTGGGCGAATTCAAACATAATATCCTCCCCCTCTTCCCCCTTTCTCTTCCTTCCCCTACCTCTTCTTTTCCACCCTCATTCATCCCTCTCTTTCTCCGACATTTTTTCTCTTTTTTTTTTGTTTCCCTTTTTTTTTTTCTTTTCTTTTCTTTTCTTTTCTTTTCGCAAACTCTCTCTAACGTAGCAGGGAAGGTTTTGGCACAGTCAAAAGGTAAAACTGAAAATCGTAGGACATAGTAGAAGAGCTAAAAAAGATTTTCCTTCAATGTGCACCCTTATACTCCAACCATTCACTCAACTACTTGCTACGTATACACTTACACACTTATTATATATATATATACTTGTATAAATGTGTGTAATTTTAGAATGTACACAAAATCTCACCTAGCGTACACCGACTGTTACTTATTTGAGATCTCCTTAAAGCTTTTCTATGAACGAATATATGTAAATACACACACACACATATATAAACGTCAATGTTTCTCTCTTTTATTTTTTGAATTAAAATTTTGATAGCGAGTGTGAAATACGTCAACGAGATGAAACGCAAGTGTGACGCACGTGTTACAAAATATATATATATGTATAGAGAATCATACCAACAAAAAAGAAATAAGATGAATGAGAGTCAGATAGTAGAACACGAGTTAGAAATTATTATTATTATTATTATTTGTATTTTTTTTTTTGGTAAGTAAGAATAAGAGGGCTAAAAAGAAAGTTGAAAAAAGTAGAAATGGTAAGAACAGATTTGACCAAAATTGTCGATTTTCTTTTTAAATTGGCAAAGTCTAGAACGTGTTCATTCTGCGGATTACATGGATCAGGATTTTCACACTTGAATTGCATTAGTATTGAAGTTAAGAAACTAAATTAAAGTAAAGTTTTGCGATAACGTACGATGATCAGGATTTTCTTGTTTTTCTTTCCACTTTTTTTTTTTTAAATTTAATTTTATCAATAGTAGCATAGTTTTTGACGAAGTATGAAAATTGTACACGAGTTAATTGGAAAATTGTTAACAGTGTAATTTAACGTGTAATTTGGTTTGATAAAAGTTTTAGTTTTATTTATTTTTTTTTTAATTTTGCGAACAGAAACATTGTTTTTAATACGAATTATGAAAAAAATTATATACGAATTAATTAATGATTAATTAATAAAATGATTTGAGACATAAATCAAGCAATTCACGACGCCGACGATAGTTGGCGCAACCAAACGAACGAACGAACGAACGAACGAACGATTGGTTCTCCAATTTCAATGAGATTCAATACTATCGCGAAACTATAGAGAGGTAATTTTGTGACGTTAGCGATCGAATCGAGTCGAGTGTTTGTGGCTTCTATTAAAGGCTTCTATATTAAATGCATTTATATAGTTCCAATAGGGCATCTCTCACCGGGGTTCTGATTTTCCAATAAAATTGATCAAGCCATTTTCCTCTTCGTTATATTCCTCTTTTTTTTCTATTTTGCTTTTCTTCTTTTACGGTATATATATATATATATATTCCATAAAAAAAAAGAACAAACGAATAGAATGCAACCGTGCTGATTTTTCTTTATTCATCTTTC